CTGACATTAATTAGAGAACCATTGGAAATATTTCATATTTCATACATTTATTCCCCTTGATGAATTTGAACAATGCAACAACTATAGTTTTTGCAGAATAAAGTGGTGCCACCTTTGATTTCGTTGCCTTCTCGTCATCTGCTTACAGGCCAAAGACATTATTAAATACATTTACAAAAACAATTTTAACGTACTTGCACAGAGTTCATTTTGAACAAAAATCAATCGATCAGTATATGCATACAGTAATTATATATATATATATATATATATATATATATATATATAAAATATTAAACACTATTCCGAACAATATTAATCATACACAATAGAAAATTTTCAGCACTGCGCATTCAGATGAGAGATGAAAATATCCAGTTACCAGACAGTGCAAAGAAAAACTGATAACCGCTTCTTTCTGGACGCATAAATCAGGTTTCAGGCGCTTGATGGAAATGGCTTTAATAAACTTGAGGAGAATCGAACTATTGCCCACTGATAATTCTGAACGACTTCGACGTCCACCTCATGACCCGTATCAAGGGCATGCCCGGAAATGGATGGCACTGTTTAAAGCATTTGTTCCCTTTATACATAAGCTTTTTGGTAAATGTTTAGAAAATCGTAGATATGCCCTTCTTTCTGTCCATCCAATATAACTGCTCACACAGATACACGTAAATTTGTATATACAGTTGGAGTTAACATTAGAAGGATATCTATCGATTTTTGATTGCACCAAAGGAGAGCAAGTTGTTCGATAGACGGGAACGAGCTTAGCTACAGGATAGGCTATGACTAGTGATGCACTCAGCCTACTGTTGATCATTGCTGCAATGTTATCACCTGTATAATCAAGCTGAATGTAGATTGGCTTTTTACCCGCTGTGATTAGTTTAAAATTTGTGACTTCAGATCTGAGTGAATTGCTTTTTCAACATTCGAATTAGACAACAGTGAAAATATCTGCAGATTAAATAATGTTGTTTATACATTTCAGAGATTTTTCCCAATTCCCAACAACCTAAGGAATCATTATTATTATTATAAATAAATGTGCTTGTACTTTCAGCGGCAGAATGTACCCCAATCACACATGAAGAGGTCCGGGTTAGATCTGTGACTCTTTGCACTCCTAGACTTCGCCTATATTACTAGTCAGTATTAATTCCAGAAAACTGGGAAGGTTGAGCATCAGATTAACAACCTTACAGTGTCAGGACAACATCACTGCTGCTGCAACTTCAAAGGTTTGAAGTCTTACGCTGCGCACAGAACCCTAGGAATGTAAATTGAAACTAACTTCAACACTGTTTGAAAAGGCAAGGCAACAAATATGAATGTAAGATAGGAGGTGGTAATACTGAAGTAATCGAACTGCTTAATAACTAAACTGACCCACCTTAATAATAAGCGTATACATCTATATACGCTTATTTGCATAATTATTCACTTATATATATTATGCGTTCATTTCACAGCCCTATGCATTCTCACTCCTTCCATTTTCTTCTAACCCTTGAACTTTTTATCATCATATGTAAAGGTAAGCTGTTTTATTTAATTATTTCATATATTAACTACCTTGTATTCATGTTGACCGTTTCATTACTATACTGGAAATTAATAAATACTCTTTTAAAATAAAATTATTTGAAGGCATGCTATATACTTGCATTAATTAATAATAATTTATGTAGCTTTTAAGATGTTCACATTTGATGAGAAGTTGTGAAATGAAATGAACACATTAATTGGACAGTAATTAACTGCTGTCATGTGATTAGTTCTTTGTTCGGCATAGACTGAATTCTATCAGTCAAGTTTGCAATGTGACCAGAATACTAGGTGCCTTACCATCACGGTATACTATAAATAGTACATCGTAAAATCATCCTGGAGAGAATCAAACACGCCACCCTAGATGAAAAACTTCGACCGGAACAAGCTGGATTCAGGAGAAACAAATCATGTATTGATCAAATCGCCACTCTACGGATCATCATTGAACAAAGCTTGGTATGGCAGTCACCTCTCCTCCTCACTCAACTTCATCGACTTTGAATAGGCCTTCGACAGCGTCGATCGAGAGGTCATCTGGCAACTACTTCGCTACTACGGGGTGCTACCGACAATTATACATCTCATCCAACAGTTATACGACAATGCTGCATTCCAAGTAATCCACAACGGGAATCTTACGGAAGCCTTCGAAGAAGTGAGGGCGGGAGTGAGGCAAGGCTGACTGGCTGTCTACTATCGCCAATGATCTTCCTGATTGTAGTAGATTGGATAATTCGACAGACAGACAGACAGACAACGGGCAATGAGGAAACAGGCATAAAATGGACTCACACAAAAACAGACTTGACTTCGCCGATGATATATGTCTGATTTTCCACAAACTGTAAGATATGCAAGTGAAAAGCAACAAGGTGACAGAGGAAGAAGCATCAAAGATAGGACTTCACCTCAGGTGAACATAGAGAAAACAGAGGTGATGAAGATTCCTAGCCAACATCAACAGCAACAACAACAACAGACAACAATCAGCATAAATGGGAAGAACCTGAAAGAAACAGCCTCCTTCACCTACCTAGGAAGTATCGTTTCAACTACAGGCGGAACTGACGAAGATATCAAAGCCAGAATCGGAAAATCAAGACAGGCTTTCATTACCCTTAAGTCTGTGTGGAGGTCAACATCACTTAGCATCGAAAATAAGATCCGGATTTTCAACTCCAATGTAAAGTCAGTGCTACTATACGGATCAGAGACTTGCACTGTGCGTCATAAAGAGCACCTCAGTCAAACTACAGACCTTCATTAACAGCTGTCCTCGCTCAACACTCAAGAACAGATGGCTGGCCAGAAAAGATCAACAACAGGGATCTATGGTAATGAGCGAACCAATCAGGAACCGATTGTGAAACAAATAGGCAGGAAGAAATGGAGATGGATTGGCCACACACTGAGGAAACCATCAAGTGAGTGACATCACTAGACAAGCCAGCCATTGCTCGAGTGGAACGAGGCTGAAAGGGAAGTGGTGAGTTGGTCGTCAGTGCGAGGGTGGGGTGACTTGGAGGAGGTCATGCGAGGAGGAGATGAAAGCATGTGGACAGACCTGGAGCGGGGTGAAAAAGTTGTCAGAAAACAGAAGGCAATGGAGGTGCGCAGCTGAAGCCCTATGTTCCTCTAGGAACTAAAGGATACAATAATAATAATAATAAAATCTCTGACTGTAGAAGTGGATGCTGAGGGTTCAGATCCCAGAAATGGACATGAGTTATCTTCAAGGCTGCAGAAACGCCTTGCTGACTGGTGAGTGCCAGCTAGCACGAAGCCTACGTCCAGTGCTTCCTGAGGCCAATTACCTCCAACCATCTAACACCAACAATTCAAAGTGTGCCGTGATGGTAAGACACTTAGTGGCATGGTGGCCACATCAAAAACTTTACTGTAGAATTCAGTCTGCACCAAAGAAAAAAAAAGGACTAGACACATTTCACTAGTTACATACCACCTAGTGCCCAGCCAAAGTATTCAATACAGTCCTACAGGAGGTGATTTGCCAGCCCGAAAAGCTCTGTGGTAACCTCTCTGACTGCAACACTGGATGGCATGGGTCAGAATCTCAGAAAGGACCTAGGTCAGACGAGACTCATTTTAATTGCTCCCAACCGTCTAATATCAAGAAACGAACACTAGTTTATCTTACAGATTTCTTCATTCTGTGCTCACATTAATCAAAGCCAGGTTTATAAGGCTTTTATTTCAGCTTAGAACTCAACAAAGTTGTACATCGATGACTGCTCATATGACGAATAAAAAAAACTATTAAAAAATTGCTTAGAGAACTTTCTAAAATTTAATCATTTTACAACTTCAGCTAGTTATTCATATAAAGGTGTCAGTGGCACAAACATTTCAAATCGACGAAGATTGAAAATATATGTTAGTTAATTTTATTTAAGTGAATGTTTGGTAGTGTTCTTATGAGTTCTTTGAAGATATTATTCGTCGGGTATAAGTATAAAACTTGGGCACTGGGGTGGCAGAGTATAACTCCATTATGGATAAGATTTTATTTTGATAAATCACACACAGTGTTGTTATACAGTAATATTAACTGATGACCAAGTTTCGAGCACAAACTATTGCCACTCATAATCATATCACTTGATATGATTAAGGGGATTTATTTGTCAGGTCTTTTGAAGTGTTTTAATACAGGATGAAATATTACTTCAAGACTTTTAAATATCCTGTTCTTCGTGTTACCACTAGTGGCAATAGTAAAAGTAGTATTAGTACTGTCACTAAAATTACCATTGTTATTATTATTATTATTGTTAGTAGTAGTAGTAGTGGTGCTATGGGAGAAGACAATAGACTTGGTAATGTAATGTACGTATACCTTATATTAAAGTCGTTACTTGCACAGATCGTCCGTGTTGTGCCAGTATTGCCCTTCGTATTGTGTTTCTTTGTCTTATTTTCATGTCTTGCATGTTTTACTGCAATGCTGATTCATTTCCTCTCTTTGAAGTCAAATTTATCTTTCCGCCATTTGATATTTTTATGCCGATGAGCGTCTCTTTATATACTACTGATACATCTTGCCAGTAGCACTCCCCACTGCAGTAGTAGTAGTGTAGTGAGAGCTGTCTGCCAGCCAAGATTGGTGGACAGAAATTTACGTCAATGTTTACGTCCTATATCTTGGCCATGAGAAAAAAAACAAGAACAAAGACTAACTCAACAACCGACCACAGCAGACTTAGCGTGGTCGGATACGGTTAGCAGATATGCCAATGGACTGTTTAAGAAACGGCAACAAAGAGATGACGAAATTACCGTCAGCAAAAAAACAACCAATCAGAAGACGTTACCTCTCTGCTAACGATAACGAATAATAATGTACACAAAAATCTATACACATCTGTTAATTTTCTCAATAAACGATCTGTTGCCTGGCCGTTGTCCTCTGTCGTTACACTAGTAGTAGTAGTAGTAGTAGTAGTAGTAGTAGTAGTAGTAGTAGTAGTAGTAGTAGTAGTAGTAGTAGTAGTAGTAGTAGTAGTAGTAGTAGTAGTAGTAGTAGTAGTAGTAGTAGTAGTAGTAGTAGTAGTAGTAGTAGTAGTAGTAGTAGTAGTAGTAGTAGTAGTAGTAGTAGTAGTAGTAGTAGTAGTAGTAGTAGTAGTAGTAGTAGTAGTAGTAGTAGTAGTAGTAGTAGTAGTAGTAGTAGTAGTGGTAGTAGTAGTAGTAGTAGTAGTAGTAGTAGTAGTAGTAGTAGTAGTAGTAGTAGTAGTAGTAGTAGTAGTAGTAGTAGTAGTAGTAGTAGTAGTAGTAGTAGTAGTAGTAGTAGTAGTAGTAGTAGTAGTAGTAGTAGTAGTAGTAGTAGTAGTAGTAGTAGTAGTAGTAGTAGTAGTAGTAGTAGTAGTAGTAGTAGTAGTAGTAGTAGTAGTAGTAGTAGTAGTAGTAGTAGTAGTAGTAGTAGTAGTAGTAGTAGTAGTAGTAGTAGTAGTAGTAGTAGTAGTAGTAGTAGTAGTAGTAGTAGTAGTAGTAAGAAGCGGAATAGGAGTAGAAGTGGTATAAGTGAGGTGGACAGGACTAGTGGGGGTATTCTAATGTGCTTTTGCGAGACAAAATATGATGAACACAGACAAAATGAGAAATACTGCACTTATTTCACTATTTGTAAATAATGTCTGTCAGTGTGTATCAGGGTGATTTTGTTCTACATTCTTCGATTCTTCTCAGACTTTTAACCCCCTTTAGTAGATTTCCCCCTTAGATGTAAAAGTACACAACAAATTGATGGGATACATTGTGCACAATAACTGTGTTAGTTTAGGTCTCTGAAAAGGATCTCCTCGGTTAAATACCTGTTCTCTTTCCTCTACATTTCAAAATGGGAATCTTTCATGTATTTGAATAATCAATGCTTTCCCGAAGACACTACTTATATCGGGTTGTAAGTAATATATATCAAAATAATTTCAATAATAATTTTTCACTTCTCTGCTTTCTGAGTGAAACATAGTGATTCAAGCTGTAGAAATTTCAGTAGTAGTAATGTTGGTTTTACGGAGTGGAGTTGTAAGGTTCACATCCAATCTTCTGTCTTCTCTGGTTTTACTGTTGAATAGTGAACTAGGCGACGTTTTGGAATGCATCGACAAGGAATCGAATTGGAACTTCCCATATGGTTTTTGGGTATTCTAGCATTGTTGCTCATTCCCTTGTTTGCAAGCTAAACAATGTCTTTATCAAATTTAATAAAATATATGTGGAAAATATCATTAATGAATATTTATATCTTAACGAGTTGCTGTCTAAATTTATACTAATTCATGCATATAACATTATGAATAAAATTTTATTATGATAAAATCACACAGTGTTGTAGAGTAATATTAACCGATGACCACGTTTTGAGCACAATTTATTACTGCTCATAATCATATCAAGGCACTACTCACACAACTTTCTTGCTTCATTTATATACATGAGTAAAGACTGATGATTAGACATTTGAATAAAAATCAATATAAGAAAAAGGACATTCAGAAATAATGTGTTATGAATAAAATACAATCAAATGGGAAATAAGATGCTTTTTAGTAAAAAATAAGCAACTTTTTAGAATATTATAATGTGAATTGAATCCATTTTAACAGTATTTATTATCATCCTCTGATTTGATTGGTGGTAATAATATCTTCCATATCTCTGGTATTTGCATTGAGTCACTTCTATTGCATATGTTGTGTTGGGTTAGACTCGATGAACCAGGATTCAGTAATCAAAAACTTCTCTCTCCAAATACCTAAGTTACTTTTTAGAATCTGAACCCTCTCCCACCCTATTGTGTGGTTGTGTGTTAATGTATGTAGTGCAATCACTGAGCTATTTTCCAAATTACTTATCTTCGTGGGATCAATCATTCCAACTTTAGCTAAATCCTTATGTATTAATGTATATAAATGAAGTAAGAAAGTTGTGTGAGTGATTGAATATGATTATGAGTAGTAATAAATTGTGCTGGAAACGATGTCACCAGTAAATATTACAGTACAACACTGTACCCGCACCGACGCACGTTTGATATCTATGGTCGGCCTGCATCATTTTGGCTACTGATATCCATGCTGAAAATTCCATACTTGTACCAAAAATACAGTGTGGAATCAAGCTGTAATCAAAAATTTAAAAAAATAAAATATTCCAGTTTGAACAATCAACGCTCCGTAAAGTTTGAGATAAATAAAAACCCGTTATGAATTTGTATTTCCCATCTGTTTAGGCATATAATAATATGAGGGGTGTAATCTACGGATAGGAAATATGCGCTGACAGCAAGGTAGAAACAAGAACAGGTGAGGGAAATACTGTGGAATATATGTTAGTTTAGTGGAACAATTATATGAAGGTGAGAGAGAAAGACAGAAGGAACTATTTGGATACTGGAGAAAAAGGGATGGAAACTGATTTTCTGCTTTCCAACTATTTTCTTCCTAATTTTTCTATTCCTACCAATCAGCTGCTCGAAATTCATTTTCCCAATGATTTCATTATTTCCAAGTATTGATTTTGTAGGGATTTTGTTTGATTGGATGAAGGATTTCAACTTGAGCTAACATCAGTTAGAGAACCATTGGAAAACCTGCTGGAGTACTGGACAACCGTTTCATCTTGGTTCGGAACCCACACAGCAGGTTTCGAACCCAGGACCTTCTGGTTACAAGGCTAGCGGGCTTGTAGACCATTGAGCCACCGGGACCCGATCCAATAGTCCTTGAATTCTAACTTCTGCCGATTCACGACATAGCGCGACCACTTTGCAATGTCTTCTTCGATGAGTTACTGCCTCATCTTCAACCTGCTGTACATTACTGATCACGCCTTCCCACCGGTGAATGTGTACTGATGAAGAGTCCCAAACTAGGACGAATTAACTTTCCAGTACTCCCAGGTTTTTCAGTGGTTCTCTAACTGATGTCAGCTCATGGTGAAATCCCCCATGCAATCGAACAAAATCCCTACAAAACCAATACTTGAAGATTTCATTATTTTCAAGTATTGGTTTTGTAGGGATTTTGTTCGATTGAATGGATGGTTTCACCATGAGCTAATATCAGTTAAGGAACCATTGGAAAACTTTGAAGTACTGGACAGCCGTTTCATCTCAGTTCGGGACTCTTCATCAGTACGTACTCACCACAACGGTTCGAACCCAGGACCTTCTAGTTACAAGGCTACCGAGCTCTTAGACTATTAAGCCACTGGGACCCGATCAAACCGCCAACACATGAATTCTAACTTCTGCCAATTCATGACCTAGCGTGACCACTTCATAATGTCTTCTTCGATGAGTTACTGCCTCATCTTCAACCTGCTGCCTACTACTGGTCACGGCTTCCCACTAGAACCTCAGACTAACCACCTGAATAGGGTCAGTCGCTAGTGAGCACCAGGTCAATTTTCAAGTGTTGGTTTTTGTCATCGAAGAAGACAGTGTGAGTTGGTCGCACTAGGTCATGAAATGGCAGAAGTTGGAATTCATGTGTTGGCCGTTGGATCAGGTCCCAGTGGCTTAATAGTCTACGAGCTTTCCTTATTTGTCTACGAAGTTCCTCCCCCTTTTTCCTTCTAAGAAATAGCTTTGTTGCTTTCAAAACTTTGAGTATTTCTATTGAAAATTCATGAGATCTGGGAATGAAGTCAACTTAAACAGAATTAATGAAAATAATAATGACTATAGACTTCAGAGAAAAACAACAAATGTTGATGAATTCAATATTAGTAAATGTCAGCACAGTTTCTCGGAAGCAAACTTGTCTCCTTCAATACTACCTATATCTAAATACTTAGCTTGCAGAAATACTGAAAGAATGTTTAGACAAAATGCCTAAACTGGATTCTTAGTTCACTATATGAACATAATTACCCCCAACTGACTGCCGTACTTTAGGAAATAGAACTTTGTAGAACCGTGGATCAGTTCAAATTGTCCCTCCTCAATATTTCAAACTGGAAGATATGCAAATGAAAAACAACAAGTTGGCAGAAGAAGCGTCCAGAGAAGATAAGACTTCAGGTGAACATAGAGAAAACAGAGGTGATGAAGATTCCTGGCCAGCACCAACACCACCACCAACAACAACAGACAACAATCAGCATAAATGGGAGGAACCTGAAAGAAACAACCTCCTTCACCTACCTGGGAAGCATCGTTTCAACTACAGGCGGAACTGACGAAGATATCAAAGCCAGAATCGGAAAATCAAGACAGGCTTTCATTACTCTCAAGTCTGTGTGGAGGTCAACATCACTCAGAATCAAAAATAAGATCCGGATTTTCAACTCCAATGTGAAGTTAGTGCTACTATACGGATCAGAGACTTGCACTGTGCGTCATAAAGAGCACCTCAAACAAACTTCAGACCTTCATTAACAGATTTCTTCGCTCAATACTCAAGATCAGATGGCCGGTCAGAAAATATCAGCAACAGGGATCTCTGGGAATGAGTGAACCAAACAGGAACCGATTGTGAAACAAATAGGCAGGAAGAAATGGAGGTGGACTGGCCGTACTCTGAGAAAACAAACCATCAAGTGACATCACCACACACACAAGCCATCGCTCGAGTGGAACCAGGCTGAAAGGGAAGCGGCGATTTGGTCGTCAGTGCGAGGGTGGGGTGATTTGGAGGAGGTTATGTGAAGAGGAGATGAAAGCATGTGGGCAGACTTGGAGCCAGGTGAAAACTTTAGCAGAGAACCAAATGCAATGGAAACGTGCAGCTGAAGCCCTATGTTCCTCTAGGAATTAAAGGATATAATAATAATCCCAATGACATTTGGAGCTATTTATCTAATTTTTACAACGGTTTGTTTTTCGTCAGAATCGGATGGTTATAACAGGGTTATTTAATGATCGAAATTATTGATTTCTTTGATAGGAAGTCAATTGGTCACTACCTATATCATTCTTAAGGCATCACTATTATTATTTTTTTTATTTTTAGTGAAACTATTTGAAAGTGCATTTTAAGTATTTCTTACATAACATGATGAATCTAGTTGAAAAGAAGGTTTAATTTACAACAGAATTCGATCTGATGGTCATCGCGGTTTACCCATCCAACTGTTTATACCATATTAACTTTACTCTAATGAAAAAAGGTGACCTGTCTGATGTTTTGTAGGCATGTGTATGTCTGCCTGTTTATCTTCGGAGATTCCACTACCTCCCCCTTAAAGCCTTCACATCCAAATTCTAATAGAATTCAATTAAATAGATAAAGAGAGACACATATTAGTCATCCTCACTGAAACCATCTGAGATAGTCTTTGTCTCACTGTACTTTTGAATCTCATTAATGAAAACCAGGTAGTAATGGATAGTCGTCTAGTCCTAGTTTTGAACTCTACGTTACCCATCGAGGATCGAATCTAGGAACTTCACGTTACAAAACAAGCTCACTGACTATTTAAATCCCAGAGAAGAGTTCCAATGGCCCATTATTTATAACTCCAGGCATTTCGCTATGCATATATAGCGCGGTTTCCAGTCAATGTAATCGGTGAGTATTTGTTCTGACACCCGATTTAGGGGACTCCACTGGTCAAAACTGTAGGCAGCTTCGTCCTAATACTTGGTTACTAGTAAGCACTAGATTAATTTTCAAGCGTTGGTCTGTAGGGATTAGATTCATCGATAAGACATTGGATTCTGTCCCAGTGACTAAACGGTCAACATACTGGCGAAGATTCCCAAACTGGGACGAAACAGTTACCCAGTATTCCCTGTCTTTCAGTTTTCCTTCAAAATGGTATCAATTCGTGATCAGACTTGAAACTAATTATATCTCTACAAACTGCCACTTGGAAGAATCTTAGTTTATGTAAGATTTTGGACAATCATTTATCCAGCCCCACGTTCACTCCTTCAATTATTAACCCCCTAATAGATCATAACTAGCTACACTATCCAGATACACATGTTTCGCCTTGTTTATGACTCATCAGTTCGACGTACTTGCAGTCCAATGAGTAATGACTTCCTCCACTAAAACTAGGATAAATAAGTGCTGTTCACTGTGACCATTACAACTAAATCAGCATGTGAAAATTCATAATTGGTCCTTGTTTTGTTTTTTTCTGTGGATTTTTTTACAATTGTACTTTTTATTGTTGAATGGATCTGGATTTCTTAGATCATTTATGTTTAATGTCACAGAAACTCGAAGACTTACAGGCGAAAAATGTCTGAAGAAGCAGGCAGAGAAGACAGACCTCCAGGCGAACATAGAGAAGACAGAATTGATGAAGGTAATCAACAACAACAACAACAATAATCAACAGAGACAACAACTAGCACCAATCACCATCAACGGGAGAGATTTGACAAAGGTTACTTCCTTCATCTATCCGGCTAGGAAGCACGCTTTTAACCACAAGCAGTTGGACAGCACGGATGAAGATATAAGAGCCAGCCAGCCAGAATTAGAAAGACAAGCCACATACGCCTTCATCAACCTGAAACCAGTTTGGAAAACATCCGTACTGCGCAGCATAAAGAACAGTATTCGAGTTTCTAACACAAATGTGAAGTCATTCAGTTGGTTCTTCTATACGGGTCAGAAACTTGCACTGCATGTCAGTCAGGAAAAGCATTTCCAACAGCCTGCTGCAGACTTTTATAAACAGCTGCCCACTTCGATGACTGGCTCCATACCGAAGATCAAATGGCTGGCCAGTCGACGGGCCGGAAGAATTAACAACAAGAAACTCTGTCTGGGAACAAACCAACGAAGAGCCGACTGCTCAACAAATATGTGAAAGAAAATTGAGATGGTTCGAGTTCTCATAGAGGAAACCGTCGAATGAGATCACGCGTGATGCAGGCTATCGCTCGGGTGGAATCCAAATGGAAGGCGACAAGTGGGTTGTCAGTGAGAGGGTGACATGGAGGAGGAGATCGTGTGGGTTGGAGGAGGAGATGGGAGATTGTGGGCAATCATGGATCCAGTTGAAGAGAACAGCAGAGAGTAGAACAAAGTGGAGATGTGTTGCTGAAGCCGAATGTTCCACTCGGAACCTAAAGGAATAATAATAATATAATATAATTGTCGACTCTGATTCATACTCATCTCCAAATTCTTTATAAATCATAAAGAAGACAAATATTTCATAACAGAAGGCTTCTAAACAGATTACAGATTGATTGCGTAACTCTGCGGAGAGCAGCACTTTACATTGTTTTATTTTCTTTCATTCACCACAAAATTAGCATTTTAATTCATTTTCCTGCTTCAATTATTTTCAAAAGAAAAAAAGATTCACTTGTTGTTTAAATTTACTGATTTGTAGCATATCTGCACAACTAAATATTAACATACTTCAAAGAAGAATGACAAGAGGGGTCAATTTTCTGTATATATATATAATGGTATGTGAATGAGTGTTGGTGCATTAGTGATGTTGAAAAGAAATAGATAGACAGACAGGTAGATGGATTGACAGACAGCCGAATAGAGCTACTGTGTACAATTATAGACAAATGATAAGAAGCCCTGGGCCTATTTTACTGTGCCTCTGAGGGTTAATCAATTCCTTTGAAGTCTCAGATACTCCTTACTGACAAATGCAATTAAGTCATATTGACAATTTACAAATCCGTTAGCATTTTACAATCTACACATTGTTCGAGTGGTGAAATTTTCACTACAATTTCCTTTAGAAACGAAGTCATTCAGGTCATCATAATATGTGATCTGCTTGATGCGATAAATGGTAATCAAGAAAGCATGTTTGCATAAAACTATATACTACTGATTCACTGAGATGAGTAGTTGTAAACCACTCATAATAATCAGTAGTGCTTGCTAGCCAGACAGAAAGAAGTGATAAAAAACACTGTGGGACGGCCATTCGCCTAGTTTGGCATCGAGCTTATTGGTGGTTAAACAGTTTTCACTCATCTCAAAGAACCGAATCAGTTCCAGCTACACCCAATTTCTGGTTAGCTACTTAAGCGAACTAGTCATACCATAAATCAAATTCGCAGTTTGCCAATAAAGTTAGCAATTCTCAATGTACACAGTCTGTGGGGTGTAAATTTCGCCACAATTTCCTTTGAATCAACTGGATCTGACTAACAACCAGTCAGAAGTATATTATTATTACTTATTTTATTCCTTTACGTTCCCAGTGGAACATAGGGCTTCAAGCTTCCTGAGCTCTGAAGTTTCGGTAGTAATGGTGTTTACTTTCAGGGGATGGGGTTGCTAGCCTCATGTGCAACCTTCCTTCTTTACCGGTCTTATAACCGGCTTAGCGACGTTAGGGAGTGAGCCGGATAAGGATCGAACCCCGGACCACATGCATGGTTGGCAGGCTCAATAGTATACATTTTTATGCAAATATGCTTGCTTTTGCATTACCACTAATGCCATCAAGCATATCACATACTGTGGTGATCTGAATAACTCGGTTTTCAAAGAGCAACTGTGGTGAAATTTCCACCTGTCGAACTGTTTACATTGTAAATTGTAAATTCATATTTTTTTAACGTTCAGGTTGTAACCAGTTGAGAAGAATCCTTGAAATAATAAAAGATGAGCTCATATTATCCTGGTACAAGTTCAAGTTCAAGTTTATTAATGGGAAGAATTGCATGAAGAAATTGTTAATTAGTTTGCAAATAGTGAAATTACATGTGCTTATAAACTCCCATTAGTCACACCTTATTCTCATATTAAACAATTGAGTTTAAAAGTTAATCAGATAATTTTTACTGTACAAACACACACACATTTGGTTATTTGTTAGGCCCTAGCCAACTATTTTTACAATATTTGAATGAAGTAGAAAAGCACTGCAAAAGAAAGAGTGAGGCATGGTGAGATTCAAATATAAAATCGATCCAAATGATCAATAATAATTGACTTTAGATAGGTAAAGAGGTGTAGGTTGCTAAGATTCATTTGCTGAAGACTTTTGGTGAAATGACTCATAACTGTGCATATCTTCCGAGATTCTGAAATAATTCATTAGAGTGACAGAAAGATTTTTAGCTCTGTTATTGCCTTCTCTGAGCTGGATGATTTATTGGGGGAAAGTTATTGTTAATGATGTCCTTCAGGACAATACTCTCAGTGGTAACTTCAAGATGAAATGAGATTTTTGAATTCTTTATGACTGAAACAACTGTTACTCTTGATGAA